CTGAGGGAGTGCTGAGCACACCCACCCGGGCCGGGCCGTTCCCAAGGCCCTGGCTACGTGATTGAAGTGCTCCCCAGCAAGCTCCCACACGCTCTGGGAGGCTCTGGAGCCTTCCGAGCCAGACTGCTTGGCAAAGCTGTTCCTCACCTTGGCGGGTGTGGGCAATGCTCACCTCCGGGGTGGAAGGAGCAGCATATGCTGCACAGCATGGTGGAGACATCTCCCCCTCCCCTGTGCACCCGTTCTTCCCTCAGATCCCAGCGTGGCCTTGTCTAAACCCAGCCTGTGCCCTTGTTTCATCAGGGACGATGTTGTGGGTGCTGGTGGTAGAAATGTCCTGCACTGCGTCCTGCTGCTGAGACATCCTTCTCCAGAGGGGAGCATGGTCCAGATGAGTGGGGACCATATTTCCCCTCTGGAGAAGGATTCCTCAGAGTGGGGACATCCTACCTTCTGCTTTGTGGAAGCAAAACTTTGTGGAAGCTGGCCCTGGCTGTGCTGGGAGGGGAAGGGAAGGGTGCACCCTGCCAGCCCCAGAGGACACGGTGGCTTTGTGTGCGCAAAGGCACTTGAGGGCACCAGCGCTTTGCTGTGGCTGCAAGAAGCTCTGGAGAACATTCCTGAGCACCCAGCTGCAGTGCTGGGGTGTGGGGCTTGGCTCAGGGAGCAGGGGGCAAGTCCACACAAAGCTCTGGAGGCCGAGTTTCGGTCGGAACTGCTGATGGCTGTGGTCAGTGGTGGCGTCTCGTGGCCAGGCTGGGTTGTTGGGGCTTGTCCTCAGGGTCACAGGAAGGAGAAGGGAGAGAGATGAGGCGTGGATGAGAACTGGGGATTAGGGTAAGGCTGGGAACAGCAGGCAGGGAGTGAGGGGGCAATGTGGAGTGTGGGTGGAGAAGAGTTTTGTCTGCCTGCACTCGTGTGTGTGTCTGTGAAACTGCAGGAAGGAGACTCTTGGAGAGGTCCCAGGGCACATCTGCCACGGGGACCAACACTGAGGAGTTTATTTTAGCCTTGGACAGGGAGCCATTCATCCCTGGAAGAACAGAGCAGGGTGACATTTCTGTTAGGAGGTGCTGTCTTGTTTCTCTTGCTCTGCATTTTTCTTTCCCCAGCCCCTCTCTCTGTTCCATTACTCTTTCATGTTCCTCACTCTCTGTGCAGAACATGAAAGAGTTCTCTATCTTTCTTTTTTTTTTTTTTTTTATTATCCCTTTCTTTCCTTTCCTGCCCAGCTCCTAGAATCCATCCAATTGCAGATTCTCCCAGAAGCTGGGAGCAAAACCCGCTTTTCTCGTTCTTCCCACCTTGCCTCCCTCTTGTATTTATCATACAAATACTGGCTGTATAATTACCAGAGCATTATCTCTAAATACACAGATTAGGAAAAGACACAGTGGCAACAAAGATGAATTTCAGGGTCAGTCTGGTGGGAGATGCTTTTCTCCATCTGGCAGGGGAGGAATCAAATGAGACAGAAGAGCTGTCATGGACTGCAGCTCCCACTTCTCACCAGCACCTTCCACAGAACACGGTGGAAGGTTCCTAAATTCAGCCACTTCTGGGGTTATAAAAAGGCCACAGAAATGATCTGGATGATACAGGGAGATAATGCAAGGTGCAGAGGCAGTGCCTTAACATTGTTCTCATATGGGAATTATTGCTGCCCTGAAATGAGGGCTGAGTCTTTGCAGCTCCTTTAATTACTGCTGCAGCTCCAATGGGATTAAATGGATGTCTGAGTGTGTGTTAGCATATGTTGGGATGTGCTGTGCTGATAAACATCAGGGCTTTCACATGCCTGCAGACACACATGCCCTGCATATTTACCACAACTGACTCAGTGTCACCCCGAGCTGAAGACAAAAGGGAGGAAGGTGTTATTGATCCAGCCTTGTGCCTTTGGGTGATGATGATGAGCTGGGCTGGTCATAGTGAGAGGAAGGTGTTTATGACCAAGAATGAGGCTGCAGGTGGATGCAGAAGGTGCCTGCAGCCACAAATTGCTCTTGTATCAGCCATGTCAATAAGAAACACAAGCCCTGTGAGGAACTACTGAGGGAGCTGGAGTTGTTTAGCCTGGAGAAAACGAGACTCAGGAGTGACCTTATCACTCTCTACATCTCCTGAAAGGTGGCTGTGCTCAGCTGGGGTTGGGCTCTTTCTCTGGGCAGAGCCAGAGGACACAGCCTCAAGCCGTGCCAAGGGAAATTTAGTTTGGATATCAGGAAAAAGTTTTTTACAGAAAGAATGATAAAGTTCTGGAATGTTCTGCCCAAGGAGGTGCTGGAGTCACCATCCCTGGGTGTGTTTAACAAAGCCTGGATGTGGCACTGGGTGCCAGGGTTGAGTTGGAGTGTTGGGGCTGGGTTGGATTTGATGATCTTGAAGGTCTCATCCAACCTGGTGGTTCTGTGAATTCTGTGAAACAAGTGGAGTAAACAGAGGAGTTCCTGACCCTGATGCTAATAACCACAGTGCTTCTGGGAAGCCCCCAAACGCTCACAAGTTGCCATTTCATTGCAGGGCTGCAAGCTCAGAGCGTCTTGGTCAATGACTCCGTCTCGGGGTTCATCGGCACAGACGTGGTGCTGCACTGCAGCTTCACCAACCCGCTGCCCATCGTGAAGATCACGCAGGTGACGTGGCAGAAGGCCACCAACGGCACCAAGCAGAATGTGGCCATCTACAACCCCGCCATGGGCGTGTCCATCCTGTCCCCCTACAAGGAGAGGGTGACTTTCCGCAACCCTTCCTTCAAGGATGGCACCATCCAGCTGTCCCGGCTGGAGCTGGACGATGAGGGCGTTTACATCTGTGAGTTTGCCACCTTCCCCACCGGCAACCGGGAAGGGCAGCTGAACCTCACCGTGCTGGGTAAGGCTCTGCAGGGTGAACCTCCAGTCCAACAGAGCTGGAGGAAGCTGAGATTCACATCCTGGGAGCTCGGGGTGAATTTGGGGTGTGAATTGTAGCTGGGGTGGATTTTAATGTTTTAATGTTGGCTGGGAAGAGGTGAAGAGCAGGGAGAACAAAGCAGGTGGTTCTCAGACAGCTGAGCTGTCACACCTCTTGTTTTTCCAGGCCTCAGTTCCCCTTTTCCCTCCACCTACACTCCTAATGCAGGTGCAGTAACAGTGACCAGGGCCCTGTGGGAGTGGTGAGTTTTAATGAGCTGGGGCTGTCAGGAGAGAAGAAACAACAGATTGATCCTAAACCCAAGCAGAGCTTGTCCCTGGAGCTCAGGGCTGTGAGTGAACAGACCCCACCCAAGGTCTACATGAGCTGTTTTCTCTCCAATTTCAATTTCTTTCTAACACAGGGATGAAAACTTCTGGGAGGAAAGGGCTTTCCACATATCCATGCATTTAGGGCACCTCCACCATTGTTTCCCCATAAATGATGCAGGTAGATGGTGCAAGGTGCATAGGCATAAAGGAAATATTACATGGGACTTATTGCTGGCAATTTGCACACTCTGGACTCACCACAAGCCCTGTCACAGCCTCAGTGGTGTTAGACGGCTCTGGGGATGTAGCAAACAGAGCAGCATTGCTTTTCTAACCATCCCTTTGCACCCTTTTCTCCTCCTCCTCTGTGACCGTGTTCACAGGGGTCCAAGGATGAGGGAAGAGATGAGGATCTGACTCCATGTTTCAGAAGGCTTTGATTTATTATTTTATCATATATATTATATTAAAACTATACTAAAATAATAGAAGGAAAGATTTCATCAGAAGGCTAGCTAAGAATAGAAAAAGAAAGAATGATGACAAAAACTTGTGTCTCGGAAGAAAGTCTGAGCTAGCTGACTGTGATTGGCTATTAATTAGAAACAACTAACATGAGCCAATCACAGATGCACCTGTTGCATTCCACAGCAGCAGATAATCAATGTTTACATTTTGTTTCTGAAGCTTCTCAGCTTCTCAAGAGGAAAAATCCTAAAGAAAAGATTTTTCATAAAACATGTCTGTGACACTCCTCCTCCTCCTCCTTTCTGCACTCCCCTACAGCCAAGCCCACCAACTGGATGGAGGGCACCAAGAGGCCTCTAATCGCCAAGTCTGGCAGGACAGAGAAGATCTTGGTGGCCACCTGCACCTCCTCCAACGGGAAACCCCCCAGCACCGTCACCTGGGACACGAAGCTGAAGGGGGAGGCGGAGTTCCAGGAGATCCGGAACAGCAACGGCACCATCACGGTGATCAGCCGGTACCGGCTGGTGCCGAGCCGCGAGGCGCACCGCCAGCAGCTCATGTGCGTGGTCAACTACCAGCTGGAGAGGTTCACCGACAGCATCACCCTCAACGTGCAGTGTAAGGGGCCTGGCACGGCTGGGAGGGCTCCCCCTGCTCGGGGCTGGGCTCTGGGGAAAGAGGGGTTTGGGTTGGGCTGCTGGAGGGGCTGTGGTTGTGGTTTTGAGAGTGAGAACTGAAAGGATCCTTTGGAATAATTGTGGGTTTTCTCTTTTTCTTGCCTTCTTCCTCTGCTTCTGCTGTGTCCTTTTTGCTGCCCTTCTCTCTCTCTTTTGCATTCCCATCATCCTTCCCTCCCCGTGTTTCTCTCCTTCCTCCACTCCTGCCTCATCTCTATTTCATATTCTCCCCTTTCCTTTCCCACATTCCTTGTCGCATCACCTTTTGCTCCTTGAAATCTTTCCTTCTCCCACTCCTACCCCCTCACCTCTACCTATTTCATTTTCTCCCCTTTCCCACAATCCTTTCATCTCCTTTTAATCTCTCTCCTTTTCCCACTGTGCCCCTCATCTCTTCCCATCTCATTTCCTCCCCTTTCCTCTCTCCTTTTCTCCTCCTGCTCTCCTCCCTTTCCCCCCACCCTTGCAGATGAGCCAGAAGTCACCATCGAGGGCTTTGATGGCAACTGGTTCCTGAACCGCAAGGATGTGAAGCTGATCTGCAAGTCTGATGCCAACCCCCCAGCTCACACCTACGAATGGAAGCTGTAAGTGTCCCCAGAGCCCTGCTGCCAGCTGCAAATGTCACCTCCCAGCAGGGACAAGGAGTCTCTGCAGACACCTCACTCACCCTGTGGTCACTTAGGGCCCAGTCCCATTAGTGTCAGCAGTGTCACCCCAAGGTACAGCCTGTGCTTGTGGTGGGGGTGGCTGCCAGCTCAGTGCAGCCTCAATATCCAGGGAAAACTCCCCCTTCTCACCTCCCTGGGATCATACTCTGCCCTGGTGATGTGAGGCAGCTGAGATGTGACAAGGTGATTCACGTGCCCAGAGCCACCAAGTGCCTCGGCAGCAGAGCTGGGAAAGAACCCAGGATTTCCCTGCTTTGAAAAGGCACAAATAACACAAAATTTGTGTGTGTGTGTGTGTGAACAACCTTCCCCTGGAATCAGCTCCTCACGTGACTGGCATTAAACAGCAGCAATTCCTTGTCCTCAGGTTTCCAGCTTTGGGCTGAGCACACTAAAGGGACTTGAAAAGTGAGTGAGGGGTGTCTGGGCAGTCAGGTGGGAATTGATACAACCTGATGTGGTTCTCCTGCTGCTCTTTCTTCTCTGTAAGCACTCATGTAGCTTTAAAAGAGGAAGATCAAATGGATCCTTTCTTCTTTTCAGCTGGCATTTGTCATCAGGAGAGAGGCTCTCAACATGGCTTTGCAAGGAGCACATTCTCTCTCATTCCACTTCCCAGATCAAACTGTTCAAAGTGAAAGTCTGAAGAGGATTGTTTTTCTTGCCTTTTTTCCTGCTTCTCCATCCCCAGCTCTCTCCATCTGTTGGTTCTGCCAGTCTGACTTAAAACTCTGAGGGGCTCTTTGGGTTCCTCACAACATTTCCAGGAAAGCCTCAGAGGCAAAAACGCACCCAAGGCAGAAGAGATGCCACTTAAGGCAATTTCTGTGCCTCAAGTGTAAAACCCAGCAGTGCTTTTCCTCTCCTCCCATTTGGGTGGTGATGAGCAGCAGTCAGAGGAGGCAACAATCCCACACCACCCCTTTGAGCACCCTGTGCTCTTGTTTTTGTAGGTTCAGAGCTCTATAGGACCATGATTAAAGTGTTTTTCCACCAGCTTTGGGATTGTTGGCTTGATGCAGCTGGAAAAATTGTTTTCTGTACATATGTGTGTATGTAGACATGCAGAATACATGCATTTAGGCACTTCTTTACAATCCTAATTATACCCCCGTTATTCCCTTTTGTTTCTTATAAATTGCTGACAATATGTGCACATTTGGGTTGGGAGGAGGGGAAGGAATTACTTGAGTAATTTTTAATTGCCTAAGAGGAGTAATTACTTTACTTTGCTTCAGTAATTAAGAATAACCAGGCCATGTGTGTCTTTTCCTAACACACAGGGGCTTTTTTTTTTAAATTTTTTCATCTGCTTTTGTCAATTTATTTTCTGTATCTCCGGGTTTAGTTTTGCATTATTCCACTTTCACACTTTGCGACGTGAGCAGGGCTCTAAATCAACACTGCTATGCTTGAAATTAACCCTGGCTGATCAGGAGAGTTAAATGGGCAGGAAATCGGGTTTAAAACAGGCTCAGGTTGTGTCCCTTTCATGCCTACATTAATGGGGATTTTCCTACCTACATTAATGGGGATTTTCCAGCCAGCACCTCCAGCTTCCCCACCTGCCCAAGGGCAAGCACAGACCCAGAACGCTGCTGTCACCTCTGTGTGTCACCTGTGGGGTCAACCATTGTCTCTGTCCCCCCCAGGCCAAACGGGACCCTGCCAGGGAGTGTGGAAATCCAGAACAACACCATCTACTTCAAAGGGCCCGTGTCCTACAGCGTGGCTGGCACCTACGTCTGCGAGGCCACCAACGCCATCGGGACACGCTCGGGCCTGGTGGAGGTCAATGTCACAGGTAGGACAGCACCTGGGCTGCTCTGCAGCATGGAAAAAACAGACTGGGGAGGGACACAAAGGTGTGAGCACCTGGGCTGCTCTGCAGCATGGAAAAAACAAACTGGGGAGAGACACAAAGGTGTGTGCAGTTCTGTGGTGGTGTTCTTAGGACAAGGGAAGAGATGAGGATCTGACTCCATGTTTCAGAGGGCTTGATTTATTATTTTATGATATCTGTTATATTAAAACTATACTAAAAGAATAGAAGAAAGGATTTCATCAGAAAGCTAGCTAAGAATAGAAAAGGAATGAAATGATAACAAAAGTTTGTGTCTCGGACAGACAGTCCGGACAGCTGGACTGTGATTGGTCATTAATTAGAAACAACCACATGAGACCAATCACAGATGCACCTGTTGCATTCCACAGCAGCAGATAACCATTGTTTACATTGTGTTCCTGAGGCCTCCCAGCTTCTCAGGAGAAAAAATCCTAAAGAAAGGGTTTTTCACAAAATGTGTCTGTAACACAGCTCCACCTCCTCAGTCACCACTGTCTCCTTTCAGGGTGGGAATCTCCTGAGGGAAATGGGGCAGTGGAGTTCTTGCCTTTGTGCTGGTGTTGCACTGGTTTGCTGTGGGTTTTCTCCTCTCCTCTCGTGGTCTTCTTTCTTTCCTACACCAATTCAGTTGGTTGCCCCCTCATCTTCTGCTTTGGATTCAGAGAGATTGTTGTACATGCTAACAGCAGAGGCACGTCAGGGAGATATTGATCAGAACGAGGGGCAGGGTGAGGATGTGGACTGCCAGAAAGGCAGGAGATGGATGAGTCACTTGTCCACGATGATGTTTGGTGTTCCTGGTGTTGGGCAATTCTCATGATTTTTCATTTGAGCTCCTTGCAGTGCTGCTCTGTGAATTCACTCACCTGCCAGGGATCCCTGTGGGTGCTGGAGGAGCTCTGGGCTCCAGGGAGGAGCAGCATCCCAGGCTGCAGGCAGTGGGAAGTGATGCTGTGATGCCACAGGAGACAGAAGGGATCTGAGGGCCTGCAAAGCACTGTGGCCACAGGAGGGAGGGATAGACATGTGGGCAAGCTGAGGTAGTGTCAGGGAGAGAAAGTCATGTCAGGAAATAGCTTCGAGAGAAGAAATAACATATGGCAGTAACCTGATTTCTGAAAGTCAGAGTGACATTGTGAGACATCACCGAGGGGGAAAAGTGGCTGTGGGTGCTTTGAGAGCAGGAAAGGGACAATTATCCCATTCCTTTGGGGCAAAAGGAGCCATTTGAGTTATCAGGCAGTGACTCAGGAAGGCTGGAAGTGCCTCTTGGAGCAGTGAGCTGGGGCACAGCCACACTGCAGCGAGCTCTGGGCTGCAAACAGCCCGGACAGGATGGGCAGTGAGGTGAAGGAGGTGCACTGGGTGCTTCCAAGGCACGGGGAGCACAGAACAGCCTCCCAAGGCTCTTACCTCTTGCTCTGTCCAGCCCAAGGCAGTCAGAGCCTCTCCTGCCACCCCAGGCCTTGGGGAGCTGTCTGACCTGAGGGTGATGAAACCCCAGTCCCTGCACCAGCTTTCTCCGCTGGTAAATGCTGAGCAAGCACAGAGCCGAGTCTGGGGCAGCTAAAATTAGCAATAACTCCGTGTTTGGCACCTCAGCTCCCCTCTCTGACTTGGGCAAACCAGGCTAAGCTTCCTCTAACCAAGTGCTTGGAGGTCAATGGATGGGATGCGCTAATTAGATGCTAATTACTCGGTATTTGTTTATGATCGTTATCACTGGAGCAGGTCTTTCATTCACACCTCCTGTCCTGGATCCCTGCCTGCTGAGCTGCTCCTGGTGCAGCCATTTCTCTGGGGGCTTTCTTGTGCCGGGGAAAGGCACTGGGAGAACAAAGCCCTTTGTGCCCAGCCCTACCCGAGCACCCAAAACCAGGGCAAGGTCATGGCCAAAATCAGCTGCTGGGGAGTGGTCACCTTGGTGTTCCTGGGGCAGTGCCTGGTTCAAGCTGAGCTGACTCCCTTTGGCAGCAGAAATCCATCCCACACAGTGTCCACAACCTTGGGGCACGTTTGAAACAGTGAGCAGAGCTTAAAAACCTCCAAGGTCAGCCCCAGATAGAGAGAAGGAGGTGGAGTAGGGAATGAAAGAGACTTTGAGAGTGACAGGCTCTCACTTTCCATCCCTCCATAGCCTCTGTGTGCATTTCTTGCTGTCGTCCTGCCTGTCCAGCCACCCCATATCATTTGGGGTGTCAGGGCACCAGGGACGGCCCTCTCTTTGTGTTTCCTGCCCGTTCTTGATGTGTCTCAGCACCCCAATGGCACTGAAGGTGGCTGCACCTCACCTGCACAGGCTCCTCCAGACACAAGGGACTGTGGGTTTCCCCTCTGGAATTTGGAATTGTCTCTTTTCCTGGTGTTTTCACAAAGGAAAGGAAAAGAGCCTTGTTCTCAGGCTCCACCAGCACAGGGCTGGCAGGATTTTTGGGGTTGTGTTGGTGTCTGCCTGCCTCTAATCTCAGCTGGTTCCCAAAGGTCCTGGCTGTGGGGATGAGGTTAAATGAGAGGGAATGAAGGGCACACCCACAGCTGCTCTGTGAGGAGGGATTAACAGCCAACCCCACAGGCCAGGCCTGCACCACATAATAAAAAAAAAAATCCTTTAATAATTCATGGGATATGAATATGTTTATCCAGCTCTCCCTGAGGAGCGATTAGGCCGGTGCTGGGGAGGGCTCACCCTCCTCACTCAGCTATTACAGGTACATTTGTTTGGGTCTTGCAGGCAATTTAGGGATTGTCAGTGGACCACGAAACCTCTTTCAAGAGCTGCATGCAATAAATGGAGTTCAATCTAGTGAGCAGCCAGCCTTGGGAGGAAAAAAAAAACAACACAGAAGGCTGATGCAGAGAAAAGCCTGCAGCAGCTTTTCCCCTTTCTGTCTCCCTGTTCTCCCCCCTTTTGCCACCCAAAATCTTCCCTCCAGGCCCCAGAGAGGAAAATGCAGGGCTGGTCCAGCCCCCTGATGGGGAGGGCAATTTGTTCAGAGGGAGAAGGCTGAATGCTTCTCTGAGAGTTATGGCGCATTAAAGAGATTGATAAGTGAAAATTTAATATTTTATTCCAGCAATCTGTTCCCCTAATAGCTTCTCCTGCCTTGCAGGACCTTTGTCAGTCGCAGGCAAGCCATGTAGTGTGACATGTAACTATTTATTACAGGCAGTGGGTGACAGAGTAAAAGGCTGTGGTTATGGACTGCACACGTGGGGTGGTCCTGAACAGAGAACTGGCCATGGATATTCACCTGTGTGATCCTAATCTGCATCCTGGCTGTGGATATTCACCTGTGTGATCCCATCCTGGCCATGGATATTCACCTGTGTGGTCCCAATGTGCATCCCAGCCATGGATATTCACCTGTGTGATGCTAATCTGTATCCTGGCCATGGATATTCACACCTGTATGATCCCATTTGTGTCTTGGTCATGAATATTCATGTGTGTGATCCTGATTTTATCCTGGTCATGGACATTAAAATGTGTGTGACCCCAATGGACATTCACACCATGGATATTGACACCTGTGTGATCCCATTTTGTCCTACCCATGGACTTACACACCTGTGTGATCTCATTTTCATCCTGCCTGTGGACATTCATATGTGTGTGGCTCTAGTGAACATTCCCACCTATGTGATCCAAATTTTGTCCTGCCCATGGTCTTACACACCTGTGTGATCCCATTTTCATCCTGGCCATGGATATTCACACCTGAGACTCCCAATTTTCAGCCTGCCCGTGGAAATGGTTTTCCCAAAGCTGCGTGCCCAGGGCAGGATGAAAATGGGAATTTTGGGAAATGGGAATTCCTGCACAGGGCAGGACTAAAGCATTTGCATGTGGAAATGTCCATGAATTCATGAACATGGGCTTTTCTGGGTGCAGCAGAGCATGGACACACCCTGGCCCCATGCAGGAAACATTCACCCATTTGTGCACTGGCTCCAGCCAGAGGAAGCACAAGGAGAAAGGAAAAAAATGGCCAATAGACTTTTGGAGGAGACTCACAGAGCTGGGGCAGCAGGGAGAGCCTGTGCCAGCAGCTCTGCAGTCTGGCCTTGGATGTGCTACAGGCTGGGGGGGAGGAAAAGCTGGCAGGGGTTGCTGACCCCCCCTGCTTGGCTCCCAGCAGGGAGTTATTTACACACCAGCAGCGCTCTCGTCCCAGCAAGGTCACTGCAAACAGCCCTGGGGCTCTCTGGAGCTGCTGCCACACCGCCCTGGCTGGGAAAAGCCCTTTCTGGGAAGTCCTCAATGCCAATTCCTGCAGCAGGTGCTCCCAAAGGCAGGCAGATTTAGGTGGGAGGATGTGGGGCTGGGGGGAGCAAGCCCCAGGGAGGGGGGGTCTGGCTGATGCTAATCCTGCAGAGTGGCTGTGCATCCTGTCTGGTGGCATCTGTGCCAGCTGTCCCCACAGGAGCAGGGCCTGACTGACAGGGGATAGGTGACCTGAGAGAGAGATTAAAGCCTAAGACACGTTTGGCATCTGGCCCGAGAGCTGTCACACTCTGAAAGGCCGGGGGCAGCTGCTGAACTGCTGGATTAGCTGCCAGTGGTTGTTCCATCCCCTCCCGCCCTGCAGGAACCCCTGGGAGGGAGGGGAAAGCTTGGAAAGCTGGAGATGGACATGGCAGAGGTGCAGGGGGGGAGGGAGAAGGTCAGCAGTGCTCTGGGCTTCTCAAATTGCAGCTTTGTCCCGAGTTTTCTCATTATCTTGCCTCGTGTACATAACTTAACACACGAGCAAAGTCCTGGGATAATTTGGCGTGGGCTGTTCCAGCAGGGAAAGTTTGCCATCAGCAATCTGTCTCCTGAGCAAACCCTGCAGGGTCATTTCTGTGTTTGCTGAGGCCATCTGGGAACTGGGGAGCCCCGTGAATACGTTGGAATTCAGGTCCTGTTCCTCCCTGGAGCTGCTGTTCACGTTTGTTTGGTTTTCCAAAGCAAAAGGAAACCCAGAGTCTTCCTCTGGAAGAGCTTGGGCTGACACATGTCCAGCAGATAATTCCTCATGGAATGGACAAATGTCCATTTTCTTGGACATTTTTTTCAGTGAAAATGACATTTTCTTCAGTGCCTGTGGCTACAGGGAGAATTTGGGCTGGTGCTGGCTTTTCCCTTGCTCCTTAGGATTGAGGGGAAAAGGAGGGTAATGGGGCTTAAAGGAAAAACATGGCCACAGGAAGCAGTCTTTTAAAATATCCCAGCAGATGAGCAGAAGAGCTTTTGAAAGCTGATTTCCAGTGGATCTGCATATCACAGAAGAATTACTGGGTGTCTAAAAATACCCTTTTTCTGATCTGGGCCCTTCCTGCTCCTGGGAGCAGCCTCCTGTCCCTCTGGGTTCTCTGATGTCTAATGAGGGTTGGCTCCCACCTCTAGCAAGGATCCCACTCCAGCCGTCTCCAGGAGCTTTCTGATAGGGAGAATTTCAGCTCCTTCTGTCACACAGCACTAAAATTGGCCAGCAGGTTGAAAAAAGCAGCAGATAAAGGATTGATGGACAGGTGTGATGATTTGCATGCGCCTCATTTTTATTGAAAAACAGCTTCAAGAGAAAGATGAGATTCTTTCAAACCTCTACTTTTGAAGCCATTCTTGTGATGGGGAAGGTTTGGGGAAGTTTGTGGCCTCACTGTTGAGCCCTGGGTTGCTGCAGGAAGAGGGCAGGAGATGCCTGGAGCCTTGCAGAGGGATCAAAGGGAACCTGTGGGCTGGGCCAGGTGCCAGGCTGAGCCCGGGGTGAGCTCCTGTCTCTCTGCCTGCTCTCCCAGCTGCTGTCCCCGAGGTCTGGCTGCTGGCACAGGGACAGGAAGCTGGGCTGAATGCAACAGCTGGCAGAGCTGGGCACGGGCAGATAGTGTTGCTGCTTTAATTCCTATTCATACAGCACTCCCTCTTTTTATAAGGGCTGGGGGGTGGCGGGGGGGGGAGGCTTTTCATGCTGGCATTAAAGCCTGGCTTGTTCCCCCTCCCTCGGCTCCGCTGTCTCCTGTTTCTCCAGGCTGCTTTTCACAGGGGCTTTAATTCTCTCCAGACTCTTCCTAATGGATTTTTCACATGGGGCCCCCGAGCACACTCAGGCTTCCAGAAATTTCACGCCCCCCCCACCACCACCCTTGGACACAAAAAAAGGGGATTCCTTTTCCCACACTTCCCCCTGTGCCCTGGGTGTTGTGAGGGGGGATCCCAATTTGTGGGATTGGTGGACATCCTGGTGGTGAATGGATCCGGATGCAGGGACAGGTGACACGCTGGTGCCCGCTCACCACCTGCCATGCCGAGGCACCTTGTCCCAGGGCACAGCCCCTCCTTCCTGCCCAGGAACAGGGCAGTGCCCACCCTGTTGTGGAGCCAGCACAGGTCTGTGCCGCCATCCAGTGGCAGTGCTGGGCTCTGGAGGGGCCAGACCCCCTCCTCTCCCAACACTGACCCACCCCAGGGACCCCCAGAGCCCCCCTTGGCCCGGGGCTGGAGGGAGGATGAGGAGGGAGGAGCTCTGTGGGTGATCAGGGGGTGATTTGGTCTTCCTCTGTTTTCCTTCTTTCTTTCTTTCTCGCTGCCCACAGTCTGGGTTTGTTTTTTCTGGCATGGGAATGGAGGGTGGGGATGAGATGAGGGGAGAAAATAGTTCCTGGCTTAAGGAATGCGTGAAATCCACAAGGGATGGATGGATGGATGATGGATGGATGGATGGATGGATGGATGGATGGATGGATGGATGGATGGATGGATGAGTGGATGGATGATGGATGGATGGATGGATGGATGGATGGATGGGTGAGTGGATGGATGATGGATGGATGGATGGATGGATGGATGGATGGATGGATGGATGGATGTGTTCCTGCTCATGTCCACAGCATTGGCAGTGCCACAGGGGTAGGGAGTGCTACATCAGGGGTGGGCAGCACAAAAGGCAGGGAAAAAATAAATATCTCCTGAGAAAAGTAGGAAAACATCCCCCCTTTTCTCTGCATGCTTCCAACCTGGGCTGTCAATGAGGCTTTTAACAGGAAAGTGGGCCGAGCTCCTTTAGGAATCAGGCACAGCCTTCCCCTCTCAGATCTGTCCTCAGAGCTGGGGGGCAGAGGGATCTCTGAGGTTTGGTAGGGGCAGAGGGAGCAGTGTGGGTGTTGTGTGGTTGAAGCTGAGCCCTCAGCAGGCAGGACCATGAGGGGATGGACGTGACTGTCCCTGGTGTCCCTGCAGAGAGGATCTGCATTAACCAGCTGGCTGGGACAGGCCTTCTGTTGATGCAACATGTGGCTTTGGCTTTCCACAGCCCAGCCCCGGCTCCCCATGCTGCAAGACATGCCCTTGCTGCTTCTCTAAGGCTGTCATTGGGAAAAAATGCTGGCTCCTGCCTGCACAGCATCCTGCTCCTCATTGTGGCTGCAGCAGGGACCCTCCATCTGTCCCCCAGCCCACTCTGCCCACTGGGCTGCTCTCTGTGTGGGTTCAGCCTTGGGAGGCTCTGCTCCAGGCAAGTCAGCACTGCAGAAACCAGGACTCTGTTGTCGGGTTGATGTTTCAGGAAAGGCAGGGATTAATCATCTCCCAGGCACAAAAAAAACCCTAAAACATTTATGGCTCAGGCCAGAAATTGCTCGAATTCAGTGCCCTTGTCCAAAACTGCAGCTGTTGCAGTGCCTTCACTTGGGGGAAGCTCCTTTGTCCCTCTCCCTCAGTGGCTGGGCTAAGCAGGGACATGGAGGGGGTGGCAGCAGTCACTGCCTCTCATCCCTTTGGATCTGCTGCCTCTGAGCCCCCCACAACCCTGGCTGTGCTCAGGGATGCTGCCTTTGCTGCTGGGTCTGCACCTCTCCTTGGCTGCTGGGGGAAGAAGCGAAGGCTGGGAGGCTCCAGGGTTGGCAGAGAGGCCTTGGGGGTGGGAAGAGCACTGGGAGAGGTCTCATGTGAGAAACCAAGGCTGCCACAGGGCATTAAGAGGGCACTTGCTGCCTGAATTGGGAGGCAGGAGAAGGGCTGAGACAACCATTTGTGTTTGATGCCTGCTGGACACGGATGTTCAACAGGCTCTGAGCTCAGCCAGGGGCTGTACCTGTGCCCAGGAAGGTTGATTGAAGTCCTGGCTCAAACTTTATCTGTGCCAAAGTGTAGGTGTTAAAGCGCATGAAAGAGAACAGAGCTGCTTTCTCATCTCTTTCCTCTGCCTCCTTTTGATTTTTTTTTTTTTTTTAAATAGGTCAGGGTAGGAGCAAGATTAGCAGGAGGAGTGGCACTGTGCTGGCCAGGGAAGGGGAAGAAGCAGTGGGAGGGCTGTGTCCTCATGCTGCAGGGTCAGCACAAGGGCTCAGGAGCCAGCAGGGCTCTGAGCAGCCACAGGGCACCTGTGGGTGGGGGATCACAAGGTGCTGCTGCCTTGGTTCTAATCTGGGATGGGATGTGAGGAGAGAATGCAGAGGTGGTGGGTTCACCATGGCACGTGTCTATGCCCACCCTCGGGTGGCGTTTGGGGTTTGCTCCCTGTCAGGAGCACTCTCAGGGAAGCTGGAATTCTGTCAGCTGCTAAAACGGAGCGCGTCCGGACTCACGACTCGGGGGCTGGTGGGATGTGAGCACACCTGGAGCCACCAGGAGGGCTGGGGAGGGTAAAACCACTGCTTCTAGCCTGCTGGGCTCCTGCATGAGGCTTGGCCAGCTTGGCACGGCACCTTCCCCTTGCTGAGGACACCCCTGTTCCCCTTTCCCCAGTTTTTCCCTTCCCTGTTCCTTACCCTCATCTTCCCACCCCCTCACCCCCCCGCCCCAAACTGGCAATGAGAGCATGGAGGGGAGGGCGCGTTTCCGCATGGTTTGACACTGTTCCCCCTTCCATCTGTCTTTTCCTACCCAGAATTTCCCTACACCCCGTCTCCAATCGATGATCACAAATCCATGGTGCAGCCGAACATCCCCACACCGGTGATTGGGGGCATAGTGGGAGGCGTCTCGCTGGTCCTGCTGGTGGCCGTGGTGCTCTTTGTGGTACTCCGGCGCCGGCGTCACACCTTCAAGGGTGACTACAGCACAAAGAAGCACGTGTACGGCAACGGCTACAGCAAGGCTGGCATCCCACAGCACCACCCCCCCATGGCCCAGAACCTGCAGTACCCCGACGACTCGGACGACGAGAAGAAGCCGGGCCCCTTGGGCGGCAGCACCTACGAGGACGAGGATGAGGATGCCGGAGGAGAGCGCAAGCTGGGCGGCCCCAAAGCCTACGAGGAGGATGCCAAGAGGCCTTACTTCACCGTGGACGAGGGCGAGGCCCACCCCGAACCTTACGACGAGAGGACACTCGGCTTCCAGTACGACCCCGAGCAGCTCGACCTGGCCGACAACATGGTGTCGCAGACCGACGGCTCTTTTATTTCCAAAAAGGAGTGGTACGTGTAGCTCCACGCCCCTCTGCTACACTCACACACGCTCACACACACTCACCAACGCTCACCAACGATGCCCTCCCTCCCCTGCATCCCTCCCGCGCACGCCCCGGCCCCGCACAGACTTTTTGGATGCTGGGGGCCAGCGGGGAGGGAGGGTGGCTTTGCTTACGGATCATTTTTTGGGGAGGGGGGGCGGGGCTCGTGCGGGAGGGCGGGCGGGAGGTCGGGTAATTATTTTCTCTCGGTTTTGGTTTTTGGCTTTTTTAATTTCTCTCTTCGACGACTTTCGTCCCCTTCTGTGGTGTTTGTATTGGTCGGTGGCTTAGGTGTTACTCTTTGCTTTAACGACTGTTGCCCAGCCTGTATATTACACTCTGTTTGTGTCTTCATGTCTCAGAGTGCCCTTCCCTCCCCGAGGCTTCCTCCTCCCGCTCCCACCTCCCCTGAAACACTGGAAATTTGTTTGTATGTTGTCTTCTTTGTTTGTTTTTTAACCCTGGGAGGGGGGCAGGTGGGCTGTCCGTAGGACAGAGCCAGGAGAGTTTTATGGCAATGGAAACATAGGTGCCATTATCAGGTGAATGGATTTTGGGTTTTTTTTCCCCTAATCACTTTTTTTTTTTTTTTGGTGGGGTCTGGGTGACATTCCCATTGCCTGCTGCACGCCTGGAGAGAACCACACTCAGTTTTTAATGACTCAATAAAAGGAAAATGAGGAGAAAGGGGGGAAAAAACACCCTAGACTAAACCCCAGGTGTAGGGGCTGATAGCAGAGCAGGGAAACAAAACTGCCATTTTCCTCCTACGATTTATTATCGCCTGGCTTTTCATTTCTCCGTCTTTGTTTGAGTGTTCTTTTAAACGAAAGAAAAGGAGTATTTATTGCTGACACTTTTCCCCCCGTGATGGCTCAGAGAAAGGCTGGCTGTTTTTGTTCTTGTTGCTGTTGTCATTGCTGGTACCAGCCACAGAGCAGTTCACTGGGGCACCCCTGTGCCGGGCACATCCACTGGGGAAGGGACCAACTGAGGACACTTTGCTTCCACACATCCACTGCCTTCAGCCATGCTCTGCACACCCAGGCAGGGCAGGACCAGCCCCTGTGGTTTATTTTATTATACCACTAAGACTTAATTGTCATGTGTTTACACTTAATTTTTTATTTTGGTCAGAGCACGGGGGTGCTCCTCTCTCTCTCTCTCTCTATCTCTCTCTCTCTCCTAGCAACAACCCCAGCCCGTGGCTGCACCACGTAGGTGGCATTGATTGCCACTTTTCCAATCTCACATCCCTCTCCTGAGCACAGCCTTGGCAGACAGGGTAGGAGGGATTGAGCCTGGGGTATTGATCTTTCCCTCCTTGCCTTGAGCCACGCCGTTGTGCTGGGGAGGTTTGGATTGCTGCTATCTCTGCTCTGTGAATAAATGGGATTCCAGACTTCAGGGCCCTCTGTCTCACACCGACCATCTCCAAATTAGATTCACTGGGTTGGGGCTTATTTTTCTTCTCGTGGGTTATATTTTTTTTTTAAATTCCATGTATAAATAAATCTTTTGTTTGAAAAGAAATCCCCAGTTTTCTGAGCTGTATTATCATGCACATCTAAAAATAGCAGGACTAATTCTCCTCCTGCCTTACCCGCTGGGTTTTGTTCCACAGCAGTTATCCTGCTGCAGAAAGGGAGGAGGCTGGAGAGGCAGACCCACACAGATGAGTCAAGGTCAGATCTCTGATCCAGGCAGCCTCCAAAGCTTTCCTTTCCTGTGAGGTGCTCGCTGCAGACCACAGCCTGAGCCCTCCCCAGCGTGCCCTGATTGCATTAGTGGGGTAGGGCAGTGGGCAATCCAATTGTAGGGCTGTAATCTCTCTGCTGTTCCTGCCAGCCCCTCAGGCTTCCTGGCTCCTGGCACCGCAGCCACATGCCACAGGAAGGCTGCTCTGTGTCCTCTCCGAGCCAGAGCAGGCAGAGATTCCCTGGACAGCCACAGGAAGGCTGCTCTGTGTCCTTTCAGGCCCTGGGCATGCAGAGATTCCCTGGATACCCACAGGAAGGCTGCTCTGTGTCCTTTCAGAGCAGGGCATGCAGAGATTCCTTGGACACCCACATGCCTGCTCTGTGTCCTCTCAGAGCAGGACAGGCAGAGATTCCCTCGGGATCCCTCAGACTCAACCACCCCACTGCCACCAGCAGCACCCTGCTAACAGGAAAGCCCCCAATAAAGGGAATAAAAACCTCTTAACATCTCTCCAAAGCTCTGATTAGTGATGATTAGGGATAGGAATGACTTCCCTCCAGTGCCTTGGGAGAGCAGCGCACACAGGGCTTTGATTTCCCCCAGAGGGAGAGCTGTAATCTGGCTCAGTGTGCGGTGCAGGGAGAATTCCCAACAAAGTCCAGCTCTGGAGTGAATAATCCTTCAGATCTGAGCCCCTGGGGACAGGATGGTGACAGTGCCACACCAGGCTCTGGGCAGGCACCAGCAGGCACCTGTGAGATCAGTGGCACAGAGCCTGCCCTGCAGATTTCCCTCTGAGGGGGTGGCTTTGCAAGAAAACAATCTTTTATATAAAATCTGGAGTTTTCAGCAGTGATTCTTCACATTGAGGCCACTGCTCAGGTCTGGGAAATTCCCACCAGGCTGACCTCACAGCTCTGTGTCCTAAAGAACAAAGGTGCCAAGGCTGACATGAGGGTCTGGGAGAGGTCAGGGCTGCTCCCAAATTTAGGGATGAGGAAAAGAACCATAAGAAATCTGCTTTGGGGGTTATTAGCTTGCCTTTGAAGGTGTCACTTTTGGAGCTGCAGCCTCCTTGGATTATTTATTGCCCATTCACACACTGTTCACTGAGTGAGGCTCAAAACCCCAGTGGGAGCCAGGGAAAGGGAAGGAGGGAGTGGAGCAATGTGGGATTTCCAAGCCAGATCCTGCGCACCATTCCCTTCCTGCTACAGCACTTTTCCCTGCCCTTTTTGCACCAGCCCAAATTTAGGACTTAGCTCAGCCACTTACCTGCTCAGAGTGGTTCAGAAAAGGGGTCAGATGTTCATTTTTCATCCAGAACCTGCAGTGGAAGATCCTTAGACAGCGTTGCCTGGCACAGCAGCGAGGCACCCTGCGAGTTCAAGGCTCAGTGCTGCGTTTCTCTCATCCTTGAGCTCCTCAGCATTGCTCCCCTGGTGCAATTATCACCTCAGCCATGGAGAAATGCCACCTCTGTGCTGTCATTTGCTTCTTGCTGTCCCTTGCAAGGTCAGCTAGATGGCCAGGAGACTCTTGGGGGGGTAATTAGCCGAGTGATTAGCCATTAATCCATAGCAAGGTGGAAGAGAAAAGAAGTGTGGGGGCAGAAAATCAGATTGATGCTTCATCTGAGAGCTGTTTTTGGTCCAGTAATAGCATCACTGCCTTCTCTGGGTTAAATTGCTCTGAGGGGACCCTTGGAGGGAATTAGATGAGTTTTTCCAGCATCCTCAAGCAGAAAGTGATCCCTGTTCCCACCTGAGCACAGGGGTGAGCTCAGGGCAGAGGCCAAAGTGAAGAACCACGTGCATCCTGCAGGGAGGGAATGGGCTGGGGCTGTGCAGGGCCAGCCTGGGCTGCTCTGGGCTCTGCTGATGGTGTCACCTGTCCCTTTGTGCCCCAATGTCCCTCAGAGGGCAGATTCTGCCAGCCTGGAGTGCCACACATGAGCTGGGCCACCTCTGTGGGACCCTCAAGTGAAAAATCCCCTGCTTCTCCCACTCCACTTCCATCAGAGGTGCACAGGAGCTGGAAAATGCCCCTGGGACCTGGAAAGGAGCGAGTGGGAGCTTCCAGCTGGGACAGGGAAGCTGTCCTCTCCATCTGGTGCTAGGGAGCTGCTGCTGGGCAGGAAATGTCCCATTTCACACCAGTCCCAAACTGGTGTGGCCCCTCGAGTTGGGTTTGTGCCTGGGAAACGCCTTCACCCTGCTGGGGCTGGGGTCAGTGCCTCATCCCCTCCCCTGGCAGGGATCCCTGGCCAGGAACAGACACATCAGCCTGGTGCTTTTCCCTTTTCCCTTTTCCTTTTTCCCTTTTCCCTTTTCCCAGCCTCATCCTGGATAACAAATCCTTTGGTACCTCAGGGTGGGTGGGGAGGCTGAGCAGGCAGTGGGAGAGGTCAGTGACCCAAAATTCAGGTGAATTTGGGCCAGTCCCCCATTTCCTTCCCAGAGTGAATTCAGGGAGCTGTGCAAGCAAACAGAGCTGTGTCACAGCCCACAACGAGCCTGTGCTTTATGTACAAAGCCACCCCAGCTGTTTCCCTGCTGGGGCTTTTCTCTAGGATTATTCATTGCAATTCACCCTGGTGATGTTATTTTCCCTTATTTAATTACTAGGTTTGTTGATTTTTTTTTTTCCCCAGTGTTAAATCATTTTCATTCAAGCAAGGGAAAAAAAAAAACCCAACCTGAAGATTTCCTCATGAAATAAATCAACAAACTGAGATGGTTGCACCAAATTGACTGCAAACACATGAGGGACAAAGGGAGCCATTTTCCTGATGTTGAGTCAAAAAGAAACACAGCAACAGTTCAGCAAAAATCAGGGAGGGCTGGGGAGAGAGAGACTCCAAAGATTGATCTGAGGCAATCAGAGCAGGGAGTGTGATTGGAGCGGGGCTGCTGCTCTGCTTGGCTCTTTGCCCTGCACAAGCTCACACATGCACACACACACAGAGACTTTTGGGGGTTGGGGAGCAGATTTAAGTGGAGGGAAAAACCCCATTGCCCTTGTGAGGCTCAGCTGTGTCACTCCTGCAGGGTCTGAGCTTCCCAGTGTGGAAATGGGGTTAATCCCAGCAGGTTAAAACCCAGAAAGAAAGAAACTTTTAAAAGAAACTTTTAGGTTTCCCTCCAGCTCTGCTGTTGCAGTTTGGGGTCTGTGGGGCCAGGGGACACTGCCAGCATCATCATGCTGCCTGTTCTTTACTGATGAGCTGTGGAGCAGCCCCTCACCCTGCACTCCCTCCATCCCCTTCACCCCAAGGGAACCTGCTGCCGCTTTGGGCTTTTCCCTGGGCTGAGCAGGGGAACCCTTGGAGGATCCCCCTTGGAGAGTGGGAAGGTTCTGGGTCCTTCCCATCCATCCCAAACTCACCCAGAGCGGGGCCAAGGGCAGAGGGGCTGGGGGAGAGCAGGGAGGGCTCAGCCCATCAGAGGGAAGGAAAGACAAAGCCAAGCCTAAAGCTGAGCTTGGATTTGGGACTGGGGATTCTCCCTGGGTGAATGTGAGGAGCACACAGGGTCAGATCCTCTGCTCTTGGTGGAGGGACTCTCCTTGAGGGTCTGGATTTTCTTTTCTTTGGCCTTTCTCTTTTTTTTAACATGATTCCTCAGCTCCAGTGGTTTTATCTCTCTTTTTCTTCGTCCTCTGGCTGTAATGATCATTGTGGAGTTCAAACTGCAGACAGACAAACAAACAACCCCAACCCCACTTTTTTTTTTCTTTTATTTCTTTTTTTTTCTTTTATTTTTTTTTTCTTTTTTTATTTTGTAATCTGTGTTGTGCTTTTTGTAAAAAATAAAAAATAAAAATAATAATAATAATGTAATGGACTTTCATGATTTGGGTTTGGGGTTTTTTTCTGGGTTTTTTGTTTTCTTTTTTTTTTAAGATTTTTTGTTTTGTTTCTGTTTTTGTTTTTGTTTTGTTTTCCATCCTTTGTAATTTGTTCATTTTGAGTCCTGGGTTGGGGAGGGGGGGATATTTTCATGGTTATAATTTGTGTGGGTGGGGTGTTGCATCACCCTTCCTTTTACTTGTATAAAAAAAAACCAATAGTGGCTGAGCTGTGGAAAAAAAAATGTACTTTTTTATAAATAAAGAATTTTAAAAAAAGATACCTTCTCCTTCTTTCTGGGACATCCGTGGCTGCGTCATTGTGCACTCAGTGGGAGTGGGAGCTGTGAGGGGACTCATGGTTTTCCAATTATTTGGGATGGAAACATCCCAGGATTTGCAGTGTTTTTTTGGAAATTTCAATTATTTATATTTGTATTTTGGAAGGGGATTTGCTGAAGGCGAAGGGTTCAGGGATCTCCAGCAATGGGCTGGAGGAGGTGACTGGGAACGGCTGGGTTTGCAAACCACGGTGGTTTTGTGTGGAATTCCTGGACAGCAGATCCAGTGCAGGCTAAAGGAGGCTGGGAGAGCTTCCCTTTGTTGATGTAAACAGTGAAATTCCTTGGCTGAGGCCCAAAGCTAACCTGAGCTTCAAAATAAACGGCTAGAAAAACACAGGGCAGAAAAATCCATCGGAAAATCTGTGAAAAGTTAGGACGAGTGTCTGTGGTGAGGAAGTTCTCACTGCTGGCTGCAGCAGATGGGACAGGCTATTGGAAAAATGTCAATATTTCCCTAGAAATGTGGAATGAGCTGGTGACAGGGCCAGGATGCAGAGACACTGGAGGATGGTTTGTAGAGCCACACGTGCCTGTCATGGCAATGGGGCTTCAAAACCCTCTGCAGGCTCAGGGGGAGCTCAGGGGGAGCTCAGGGCGTATTGGTGCCTTGGGAAGGCTGGCCTGGAACAGAGACTGGATGGAGCTAAAGAATAAAGCAGGGATTTATTAGGAGGCCTCAATGGATGCACCTTGGGCAGCACAAGAGCCCAGCCAGGGCTGCACCCAAAGTGGTCCCAAAATGAACTCAAGATGAACCAAAATGGCCACAAAGTGAACACAAGGTGAACCCAAGATGGTCCCAAAATGAACCCAAGATGAACCAAAATGATCACAAAAGGAACCTAAGATAAACCCAAAATGGTCCCAAAGTGAACCCAATATAAACCCAAAATGGTCCCAAGATGAACCAAAATGGACCCAAAATGAACCCAAAATGAACCAAGATGGTCCCAAAATGAACCCAACACGACCCAAAATGGGCCCAAAATGCACGAGCGCTCCCGGAGTCTCTCCCTGGGATCAGTTCTGCTCCATTTGCACCTTGCAGTTCATTGTCCCATTCCAGCTTTAGCCCCTGCAGTCCCACCCTGTTTGTTTTTCTCTCTCCAGCCCACGGGGTTTGTGCTCCTGGGCTGAGATTTGGATCATTTGTCCTTGGTGCCCAGCTGGAGCAGGAATTGTTTTGTCTCCCTGCTCTGTGCCCAGAGCTCACCATCCCCTCATGTGAACCCGGACCCACACACTAAAGCACAGAACCTGAAAAATAGAAAAGCCAAAACCTGAGGCATCAATATCACATGTCCCTGCCTTGGGGAGGACACTTTGTGTGACAGGAGGCTGCAAAGGAAACCTTGTTCTCAAAGTTCCTTGTTCCCAAAGGAAACCTTGTTCCCAAAGTTCAAGGCCAGGCTTTGGCCAGGGAGGGAGAGACAAGGCGGGCAGCAGATCAGAGGGAACATTTCTGCTGTCCTTGCACTGCTATCAGCAGCTCCTGTGCCATCCTCTGGGACAGTGGGATGCTCCCTGGTAAGGCTTTTTGCACCCAGCCTCAGCATGTGGGTCATGTGCTGCAGGCCTGGACCTAAACCTGAGCCCAAGCCCAGCACAGAGGGAGAGGGATCTGACCCAAACTGGGGTTGGAGCTGGAGGGAGAGGGCAAAAATAGGGTGGGGAGGAGTGGTTTGGTCCCTGGGCCTGGTGCCCTGAGTGCAGCCTGGCAGGAGAATCCCCAAACTCTGCAAACAGAGCCAGGGCTCAGCCACTCTGCTTTAGGGGGATTAGAGAGCCCTGAGAATGCTTTCCTTGTGGAAAAGGTGGAAAAAACAGGCTCCAAGGTGACCAAGGGGACTTGGGCTTTGTGTATCTCTCCTGCCATTTTCCCCCTCTCATTTTGCCCTGTTAGCCATGGCACCTGCTGGAGGAGCAGCTTTCCTTCAGGAGTGACCACAGCTCCGACAGAACCAGCTCCCAGCAGCTGCCTCAGCCTCCTCTGGGGATGGGGAGGAACAAAAGGAGCCCTGCAGAGCTGGGGCTGAGATGGGAAGAAGGACAGGAGGGGCTGGGATGAGCCCCTGGGAAATGCTGCTCGGCTTTCCCAGGCCAGGCCTAAGGAGCTCAGTGCTGATGGATAAAAGCCACAGCCTGGGGCCTCTCCTGGGCAGCTCGGGTTGCAGAGGGCTGCAGGCAGCAGGAGCAGCCCCCCAGGCAGAGCCCACAAGGATTGGGTTTCCTTGGAACCAAGCAGAAACACTCTGGGGGTGGGAGTGCCAGCAGCGCCTGATGGACAAAAAATGGCTGGGATCCTTTTTCCAAGGCACAGATCTGCAGGAGAGCCCAAAAGGGGCTGTAGGAGAGCCCAAAAAGGGGCTACAGGAGAGCCCAAAAGGGGCTGCAGGATAGGCCAAAATGGGCTGCAGAGCCCTGAGGAGCAGCACAGAGCGAGGCAGGAGCTGCACCAGGGCAGGGGGAGGTTTGTGGCTCTGTGTGTGATGGGATCCCCCTCCCCGGTGAATGCAGGTGGAATTCAGGGCTGGAATGTCCCTGGTGGAGGTGCAGGGCCGGGCTCCCACCCTGTGCATTCCCTCACCATGCCTGGTGAATGTGGGGTTTGATTTCTGCCCAAATAAAGGAGCTGGAGAAGGATTTGTGGTGAGATGCAGCTCAGAGCGATCAGGGAATTTCCCTGGAGCAGCACCTGGGACTGACACCTTGCACAAGGCCCAAAACCAGGGGGATAAATCCACAGAACCAGAGCTGGAAGTGCAGAGGCCAAAGGGCTGCAGCAGCCAGAGGAGAAGGCGGGACTGGGAGATGTTAAACCAGTGAGGGGGCACTGGAAACAGGTCAGGCTGCTGAAATACGTGACCTCCAATCCCAAATTCCTTTTGAGGTGAGAGGCAAGCCCTACTGCAGTTCAGCTCAGAGCACTCAAGGTCACCCAGAGCCCATTAAACCTCCTGCAGCCACTGCTGGGTAAATGGAACCAAGGGAAACTCACAGTGCAGGCTGAAATACTTGTAGCAACAAATATGTTTGATTGGGGTTGGGTTTGGTTTGCTTTTTGGGTTTGGTTTTTTTGTTGGTTTTTTTTCGCCACTTTCAAATGATTTGCAATCTCCAGTTTGATTTGTATGAACATATTTGTTGGAGGAAATTGCTTTATGCAAATGGATTCCAGCTGAGGGACCTGTGACACCAGCAGTGCTGTTGAGCCTCAGATGCCCTCAGTGGTGCCTGGCAGAAGGAAAGAGGGGCTGGTTCTCTCCTCCTCCTCCTCCTCCTCCTCCTCCAAACAGGCATTTCACAGCCTTCCCAGACGTGTCTAGATGCAGCCTGGATTTAGAGAGTATTTGCAGAACAAGGCTCAGCCTGTTAAAAATAAAGAATAAAAAATGGATGCGTGTTGCACTGCTGGAATTTCACATCCTGGCGAGCAGAAATCAGAGAGCCAGGCTGATATTTTCACCTGAAATGTAGGGTAAAAGTGTCGTGTCACCCTCCAGGGGCTGAGTTATTGAAAGGCAGAGATTTATGGATCCCTGGCATCTGAGCTGCTCCCTTCACTCACAGCTGGGGTGAGCGTGGCCTCGTGTGGCTGAGCCAGGTTCAAGGTGAGCTGGGGATGCTCCCTCCTCCACAGATTTCACCACTGCTGGACCAAACCCAGGTCCTGGCAGGAAACAGGCAGAATGGTTGGGAATTTTGGGAGGAAAATGGTTGAATGTGAACAGAAAATGATAATTTTCTGCCTTTGTGCAGAAGATGCTGCCCTGTGGTTTGCTGGGGAGATCAGCATTGGCTAAATCCCAGGAGGTGATTAGGGATCAAATCCTAAGGGATCACAGGGAGCTGTGAGAGGAGGAGGGCTCTGATTTTTGTGGTTTTCAGGTCCTTTTCCAGCCTCACCCTGAGTCCAGGTGCACCTTCCCTCCTTCCACCCACCCTCACCCCACAGAGCGAGGGTGTGAGAACATTTCCCTCTCTCCCTCATGTCCCTGAACCTCCCCAACTCCTGCCAGCCTGCTTTCCTCAGGCTTTGGAACAGAAATTTGCCAAGTTCACACCTGTCAGGTTTAACTGATTGCCCGTGGATGGAGGGAAGGGAGGAGGGAAGGGAGGAGGGAAGGGAGGAGGGAGTCCATCCTTATGGCTCTGCTCACCAGGGGAAATTCCTCCATTCCCCAAGGAATAAATCCTTAAATTCCTCCATTCCCCAAGGAATAAATGCTTCAATTCCTCCATCCCCCGAGGAATAAATGCTTCATTTCCAGCCTCACCCCACTGCTGCATCTCCCAGTCCTCCCAGTGCCACCAGAACAATGCACAGAGCCTTTCTGCTGGCACACACATCTGTCCACCCAGGGAGCTGATCCCACCCCAAAATGCTCATCCTGAGGTCCATAATTGCCCCAGTGTGCCCAGTCCAGCTGCTGCCAGCTGTGCTCTGAATGCGCAGCTGTCTGGGCTTATCAATGGAATGGGAATGGGCTGGGAATGCCAAGCTGGAGTAAACACTGCCCAGCAAAAATGGCATGGGGGGGCTTTGCAAGGGGTGGAATTGTAATTAAATAGAAATTAGTTATTTAAATGGTCACTTCCTGGGGTTTGGTTGGCGTCCGATTAACTGAACTTTTAATTTGCATAAGCAATAAATGTTTAATTATGTTATTAATATATTTGAGTTGAGGAGCTTATGGGGTTTTATAATTGGCATTTAACTAGATAGTTCCAGCATATTAACTGATGTTTTATAGCTCCGTGTGAGCTTCTCCAATTATAACTGACCTAAAAATTTGCTTGGAGGACCTGCCTTGAAATTGTTACCTGAGCAACAGGATGGGGAGATGTGAAAGGAAGGGGTTGGAGCCTGTCCCCAAAAGGAGTGATGTGCACAGGCAGCTTGTTGGAATTCAGGACATCCCTCTGTCTGTC